TGACACAGAATTTAAGTCAATTGAGATAACTATGGGCCATTTCCTCCTTGCTATTCTAATAAGCAATGAATAAGCTGAATGCACCAACTCCCAGGTTTAAAGCTTAAGAACTGATGCCTTGAAAATGGTATACTTAAATAGAATTAAAACACAGAAGCTGCATATTTGCACGTGTCTGAAACTGCAAATGTGCCTTAAATGATGACAATTTCAAAATAAGTAATGTTATTTGGAGCATGAAGTCCCTGAAGGTTGGAGAGTATCTTTTCCCTCCACCAAGAAACTAAAGTTAAATGACAATGAACAGGTATACTTTGAGGTTTTCCCCAACCATCAGGGACAGGGCACAAAATCCAAATCAACTGACCTTGAAAGTATTTTATTTCAAATATCTAGACCTGGGTTGTTCAATATGTACCCACCAGCCACAAGTGACTAAACTTAAATAGAATTAAATAAAATTTAAAACTCATTTTCTGAGTTGCATTAGGCACATTTTAAGTGCTCAGTAGCTACATATGGCTAGTGGGTACCACATTATAAGGCACAGATTTAGAACATTTCCCCTGATGACAGAATGCTCTATTGGACAGTACTGTTTAAGGTATGGACTTTCTACTTGTTTTTCATGCAACATTGAGAACAGAGTATCCCTGAACAGGTAAGTGAAATGTTTTGTGGAAAAGACACAAAGAGGGGAGAGAGGTTCATTGTGTGTGGAATTATTCATCTAAAAGAAGAAAACAATGTACGGGGGATGGATAATTTAGGCTCAGATGGGTTGCTTAGACTTTCCCACGCAGAAAATATCTCAGCAAGGTTATGATGCAGTGCACGGTGTCCCAAAATGCAATTTGTATCTTTTTGACATGAGATGATTTTACATGGTATGTTGATCAATATTTTTAGAAGTATCTTAGAATACATGTAAAGCTATTAAAGCATCCATCAAATGTATGTCATAGGTAGTATTTCTTAGGACAAGTTTGATTTTGAAATAAGTGTAAAAAATTAAAATACGAGAATAACGATACAGAGAGTACATAGGTATAGCAAAATCATTAGGTGGCCAGTGAATGAGATGTTTGGGAAACACCAGCATTGTATCAAGAGTCTGGGGAGCCTACAGATCTGGATTCTGAATCTGATCCTGACTAGGTCAGTCGTATTTAGTAGTATGCTACTTGCTTTAGGAAGTACTCACTCTTGGGCAAGTTTTCCCGTGGCTACTGATACACCTTTAAAATTAGAGTATTCCTTCCAGCTGTACACGACTGAGTGACAAAACAGCATATATATTAGCACTGAACAAATGCGGATCTTCTTCCCCTTCCCAAGGAAGAGACTGTGTCTATTCCCTCTGACTGACGAGATTAAACCTCAGGAGAGAGGAAAACTACTCACCAGGGGACTTGGTTGCTCTTCCTCCTCGCGGGGAAAGGCAGATGCTGAAATGACAAAGCTGGGGGAGGAGAGAGGAGCTCTGAAACACCAGGTCTGCATTCGTGAATCCAGATGAGCAACTCTGGGCTTTGCCGTGGCAGAATGGGGGCTTTTTGTCCTTTCTCGCCTGACCGTTCCCTCACATTGCGACGTTTCCCCTCGCGGCTCCACACTGCACAAACCGTAGCCCACCCCAGGTCCTAGGCAACGCTTGCCTCTCTCCAGGGGAAATCCTCCGCGACTTCATTTTCCCCATACCTTGGATGCAGCTACTCGATCCAACCCCTGCGCCCTGCAAGTAAAAGGACTTTTTTTAAAAGGTCCCCAGGAGCTCGGCGGTCAGCTTCCTCTTCCAGCCTCAAGCTCAGCCCGAAACTTGGGCAGAGACCTCAGGTCACCCAGAGCGTTCTCTGGGTGCGTGCTGCTTGCGGAACGGCCGCTGCCTGCACCCTAGCATCCTGCTTGTCTGCAGCAGCCCGGGCTCACGGGCTCCGAGAACGCTGGCCTTCAGGAGGCACCTTTCCACCGGCCCCAAACCACGGTCTCCCCGAGTCCCATGCACGCCCTAAAGACTTCTGAGCGCTTCCTAGTATCCTGGAGCAGCCAGGCATGACAGCCCCCCGGGAGTGAAAGGTGCAGAACCCTCAGAAACGTGGCCGCGCGGGCAGCCGAGACACACCGCTTCCAGGGAGTCGTGCCCCCCGGGGAGGAGGGTGAGGGGCGTGGCAATGGCGGGAACAGACCCCTGAGCTCGAAACGCAGCCCTCCGTCCGCCACCCCACTTGCCGGCCTCCCCCTAACCTCGGATCCTCCTGCGAATCCCGGACGCCTCTCGGCTCCGCGGCGGCCTCGGAACTGCTCCCGACTCCACTCTCCACCAGCAGGAACAGGTCAGGCAGCGGCGCTTCCCTTCCGGGCTTCACACAAAGCCGTCGGGAGACCCGGCTC